TTTTACAGACCTGTGTCATGGTAGTCTGGGTCAGGTATGATCAGGTATGGATATTAAAATGTCTACCTACCAGACTTTGCATGGGAGGCCTTACCCTTTCTGAGGAGTGGATGGGAGGTTGGTTGCCTGGGGGGATGGCAGGATGGGGAGCATGAAGAGGTGAGGGAGGGGGAAATGTGGTTAGTATGTAAAATGAAAAAAACCTTTTAAATAATTTTTTTTAAAAAAAACAACAAAGAATAAAATGTCTACTTACCAAAGGCCTTCTTCTAGAATACTGACGGTTTTTGGTCAGTGCCCCAAGGATCCATTTTGAGGAAACATCAACTTTTAGAAAAACCACCATGTGCTGAGCTGTTCCTTTTAATCCGCACAGGTAAAAAGTATGTACCCCGAGCTGTCCTTGTGGACCTGGAACCTGGGACGATGGACAGCATCCGGTCCAGTAGATTAGGGGCCCTCTTTCAGCCTGATAATTTTGTTCATGGTAGGTTTTGTTTGTTTGTTTTTTGTTTGTTTGTTTACCAGAAGCTTCTACCAGGAAGAGTTGAGGTTGCCTTGTGGTGGCCCCCTGCTCACCTCACCTTTCCCCTTCTGGTCCTTCTCTCCCGGTCCTAGGTAACTCAGGAGCTGGTAACAACTGGGCCAAGGGCCACTACACAGAGGGAGCCGAGCTGATCGAGAATGTCCTGGATGTGGTGAGGCGGGAGAGCGAGAGCTGCGACTGCCTGCAGGGTTTCCAGATCGTGCACTCTCTGGGTGGGGGCACCGGCTCAGGCATGGGCACCTTGCTCATGAACAAGATCAGGGAGGAATACCCAGACCGGATCCTTAACTCCTTTAGCGTCATGCCGTCCCCCAAGGTGTCAGACACGGTGGTAGAGCCCTACAACGCCGCGCTGTCCATCCACCAACTGATTGAGAACACAGATGCCTGTTTCTGCATCGACAACGAGGCACTCTACGACATTTGCTTCCGCACCCTGAGGCTGACGACACCCACCTACGGCGACCTCAACCACCTGGTGTCCTTGACCATGAGTGGCATCACGACCTCGCTACGCTTTCCCGGCCAGCTCAACGCGGACCTGCGCAAGCTGGCGGTGAATATGGTGCCCTTTCCTCGTCTCCACTTCTTCATGCCGGGTTTTGCTCCACTCACGGCCCAGGGCAGTCAGCAGTACCGAGCCCTCTCAGTGGCTGAGCTCACCCAACAGATGTTTGATGCCCGCAACATCATGGCCGCCTGTGATCCTCGCCGTGGTCGCTACCTGACTGTGGCTTGCATCTTCCGGGGGAAGATGTCCACTAAGGAAGTAGACCAACAGCTGCTGTCAGTGCAGACGAGGAACAGCAGCTGCTTCGTGGAGTGGATTCCCAACAACGTCAAGGTAGCTGTGTGTGACATCCCACCCCGCGGGCTGAACATGGCAGCTACCTTCCTGGGTAACAGTACAGCCATTCAGGAGCTCTTCACCAGGGTCTCTGAGCACTTCTCCGCCATGTTCAGAAGGAGAGCTTTTGTGCACTGGTACACCAGCGAAGGGATGGACATAAGTGAATTTGGGGAAGCTGAGAGTGATATCCATGACCTGGTATCTGAGTACCAACAATTTCAAGATGTCAAAGTGGGGCTGGAGGACAGCGAAGAGGACAGGGAGGAAGAGGAGCCGGGAATGGAGGCAGAAGATAAAGAACATTAGCCAGGAGAGAGGCTACAGGGCAGCCATTTTCAATAATTTCTACAAAGATCTGTGGCTGTCCTGAAGCCCTTGGAGCCTGTCCTCATCTTGGCACAGCCAAGGGGTGGGACAACAGGTGTATGTTGGTAGTGACAGTTGGGAGTGCCAGGGCCTTTGCCCAAAGTTCCTTCTCTTTAAGCAGCAAGTGAATTGACTGTAGTGAGCCCATTTATTTTTTAGTAGCTATAGGTAGACACCCAGATGAAGCTTGCTAGGAGTCCTTTGCAGCTGATGGTCCCTCTCCAACCCTTTAGCAGCACTGTTGGGTACCCAATAACCAGGGCAGCTCTGAGTCCCCCTTTGGGAAGGCTCAGGGCCAAGGGAAGTGTGAGTCCGCCTCCATGATTGCACTGTGTAAACCTTATGTGCTATTCGACAGACTGGCTGGAAAAAGACAAAGGGAAGCCAGAGCAGGCATGCTCCTCCTCTCAGCTCCCGCTGTCCAAAAGACTAGAGAAACAAAACATTCCCGTCCTCAGACCCTGGTCTCCCAGTTACTGGCTCCTAACGTATTTCCCTGTGTTTCTCATTAGAACTAGATGCCAATGTTCACTAATGACTGTCCTGGTTTTCCTCCCAAAGGCTGTCTGTAGACACTCATTTCATTCCCCTCAGCAGTCACCCCTGCAGCTCCTGTTCAGCCTCTCCATTCTCTGGGAAAGGGCCCGAGTCATGCTTAGCAACCATTTGGATGCAGGAACGTAGCCGCAATGCCACAGTGTCCTCCTTGGTGACAGCAGACATGGTCTCATTAGCGAACTTTATAGTTCAGATTAATTTGCAGAAGTTGCCATGGACATTTGCAGGATGACACAGCTTTAACCACTGCAGCTGTAATCTCACATCTCAACAGGACTGAACACACAGGAGCCCAGGCAGCCTTCCGTAACCTCTTGGCTGTAGTTCACCTAGGTCTGAGGTGCCTGTGGTCTCAGTGGTCTGCACTTGTCACGGAGGAGCTCTTTGATCTCTCCAAAGGGAATTATTTGCATGAAAGTGGGTCCTAGTGTCTTGGTTTGTCCCTGCGGTGCTGGGGATGGAACCTAAGGCCTTGTTACCAGCTACTCTTGGGCCTGTTTATAACCAATACTAAATTGGCAGGTGGGCGGCACTCTCTTCATTTAGGCACCGGGAAGAAATAATTACAGTTCACAGCAAGAGAAATCAGGCCCCATTGTTGGTGTGACTGACCAGGCTCCTGTTTATTTTAAATACTTTCCACTCTGGTATGGATTGAGAGGTACAGGCATTAGTGAGATCTGCACCTCCCCATTCTTCCTTAGATGCTAACAAGACTCACAGCCCACCACTCTGCAGGAGTCTGCTGCAGGCTTCCCGGGATGCCTTCATTCTAACCTGCGGAAGGCAATCACACAGATGCAAAAAGAGGCCTAAATTCTAACTTTTTAAAATTTATGACTGTTTATACTTGTTCATTATGTCATTAAAGTGTGAATAAATTCCATTTTAAATGACCAAGTCATTTTATCTCTGACTCAGCAAACCCCTTCTCTTGGAGTTTGACCACTCAGGCTGACGTATCTCACCTAACTGTTCTAATGGCACAAAGAGATTAAAGTGCCAACTGACGAAAAGTCCAGGGACACCTGGTCTCTTCAGTGGTATGGTTGCCACGGTGACATCTGTGTCGCTGAAATCAGCAGGAGTCGGAAGATTTCAAAGCTCTCTGGATCCCTCTGCTCTGACACCACCAGTTAGGAACAGACCTGTGTCTGGCTGGAGATACCCCACCAAGGTGCTGGACCTGAGTTTACTTCATCTGTGTTGCCTTAGTATTTAATCTTATTAGATCAGACTCTTAGGATCTTTGACGGACAGTCATTTGGTTACTTCAATCCTTGCCCCAAGTCTCATCTCTAGCCACCCCAATGGTTCCCTGAATAAATTACTGCCAAAGCTGGGAATCCTTTAGCCCTTTATTAGTTAGCCTGGTTATCCTATGGCCCACGAGTCAGCTGTCCCACCGCTGGTGATGGGAGCTGCTTTTTGGGACCTTAATCTCGGAGAAGGTGGTAAAACTAAGCGCTCTAAGTTTTTAATATCAGGACTTCAGCAGATGCCACTGCTCCTAACCTTTCAGGACCACTACCGTCCCATTTGGTTAATGTCCCTCCTTAAGCACCCCGTGCTGAGAGTCCACTGAAACCCATAGGGGAACTGTGTGAAGACTGGAAGCAGTCAGTCCCCAGGAGCCGAGGGCAAAGACACTTTCTCTGTCTTCAGCCTCATGTGACCTGAAACACGGATTCTAGCCATTTCATTTCTCTGCTCTCTAGAAAGTTACAATGTACGGTCGACTTTGCAGTAGCTCTACTCAATCAAGAGTGTAAGGGGGTCCAGGTCTTTATTTTTTTTGAGACAGGGTTTCTCTGTGTAGCTCTGGCTGTCCTGGAACTAGCTCTTGTAGACCAGGCTGGCCTTGAACTCAGAGATCTGCCTGCCTCTGCCTCCAGAGTGCTGGGAATAAGGCATATACCACCACTGCCTGGCAGAGGGTTCACGTTTTAAAGCCCAAAACAAAGCACTTTGTTCCTAAATATTTAACTGATGAATCTATGTCCATTCAGATATGATCAGAATGCCCTATTCACTGTATCCAAACTGGTTTTAGATGGGTGGTGGTGGTGCACGCCTTTAATCCTAGCACTCTGAAGGCAGAGGCAGGTGGATCTCTGTGAGTTCAAGGCCCAGCCTGGTCTACAAGAGCTAGTTCCAGGACAGGTTCCAAAGCTACAGAGAAACTCTGTCCCCAAAAAACCAAATAAATAAATAATCATAAATTTTAATTGCAGTTCAGCCGTCAACACAGGACACAAGGCATTGATCGGCTCTGCTTCATTTCCGGTGACAAATGCACCCGGAAAATAATACAAGGTGAAAAGCGTTTTGTCTGGATAAAGTCTCATGTTAATGACTCCTCTCCAGGTCTGTGTGAAGCGAGATGAGTCATACAGTTTGTTTCTCTAATGCTGTTCTAATTGCTTCGTTTGGGCTACCAGCTACCTGGAACCACCCAGAGCCTCGGTTTACCGTGAATGCGATTCAGACTAGGGACAGCACAACCTCCACGGCGGTGTCACATTTTCATAAACCATGCCGCAACACTTTGATAGAGTTAAGCAGCGCTCCCACAGCAGCCACACACAAGCCTGTCCATCCTTTCAGGAAGTCATGGTTCACACAGTCACACTCACATTACTCTGTGGAAAGTTCCTATTTAAAAATGTACAACAGAAATGAAACCCAGCAGACATGAACCATGTCAGTTTATTGGCATAGTCAATTTATCAACAAGGGCAGTTTTGTCCCCAGGAGGTGAGGGTGATTTCAATCTGCCATAGCAGGTACCCACATGTCTTCACTGTGACGACTCGGCAGTTCCTGCTTTAGCCAGTGCCTACGGAGAGAAGAAAACGCAACAGTTGCTAGTTTGCCGTGTCTGCCTCACACCCACCATGACTGGAACCTGCTGTGTCAGCTGCAGCACAGCTGGAGTGACCCTAGGCCTGGACTGCCTGTCCTTGGGTAAACCGTTTTTGTGACAGAAACAATTTTGTCCTGTAGTCTCCCCCGGCCCCCACATTCCCCAGGCCAGCAGACTGGGGTCCTCCGTGCTGTAAGATATTAAGACAGAGACCACACATTTTTTGCAGGAGCCAGACCTGCCTCTCTGACCCCAAGGCTCCGACAAAGTCACTGGGGTCAACCACAGACAGGCAGTGTGCCTGCAGGCAGGTGAGGGGCTGTTCTGATTCAGCTCACTGTGGAGAATCAACAGTCCACCAAAACTGAGGTTTTACAGGTCCAGATTCTGATTAGACTGAACCAAGAACAGGGGCTCAATTCAAAACACTGCACCCCCACTCCCTGGTTTGCAATAAAATATTTGTTAATTCAAGATGAAAATGAAAAGTGCTTAGGGCAGAGAGTTCCAATCAGGCCAACTGCTCACGGCATAGGCTGTGGAGCGCAGTCGGATGCTGTGGGCTGCAAAAACAAATGAAATCTGAAGAACATCTCCCTGATAACTGGTCTTGCTTATCTTTACAATAACAATGTAAATAAAGTAGCTGGGAGATCAAATCAGTCTGGAGAACCGTGGCCTGAACTCAACGACTCGGCACAGCAGAAGACTGCAACTCGACGATTCCCCACACGGCTGCACAGGTGAAATGAGCCAGGCTCTGTGAACTCGGCAGGACAGGGCTCACCCAGGGCTAGTGTGTGCAGGCACCAGCAGCGATGGGGGAGAAACATGCAAAGAACTGCCATTTCTCAGGTTCCCAGTCTGCTAAGTAACTCCAAGAGCAATCACAACGGGGGGGGAGCTTACCCTCCAACTATTTGACTGTGTGCAGATAGATGAACCAGGTTTAATTAAAATAAGATGGCTTTCTATCTGAGGATGCTAACTGCACTGAAAATCAATGTGCCAATTATTCTGCTTGGGGCTGTCCGGGGCACTCTTTCATCATGCCAGGAGCCGTCTGAGGCCTGTGGCTCTCTCGGGGCTGCAGACGCCAGTGTTGGGGCAGAGCTGCGAACCCAAGCGAGTTCCGGTGAACCCGACCAGGCAGCTCCCACAAGCCAGCCACTCACCGGCTACTCCTTCTTCACCTTCACGATCTTTATGCTGCTGCCGGACGTCTTCTCGGCGTTAGCTTTGAACTCGGTCTTCAGGGCATCCCTCACTGCTTTCGCACAGATCTGGGAGAAGCGGATGTAGCTAGCAAAGCGAGAGAGAATATGAAAGACTTGTTACCAACAGCTGGACAATGGTGGTGTTACAGGAGACATCTTGGTTTTCTTCCCATACTCTTACTTTTGGTTGGTTACTATGGTAAAATTGGATTGAAAACTGGGCAACACCAAAAGTAATCTATACGAAGGAGACAGTCAGAACTGTGCCCCAGATTAGCTGGCATCTGACTGGGAGGTCCAAAGTTTTCTTCTTGGTGGTGTATCTTTTCATATTAATTTAAAATGAAGGATTTTTTTAAGTCACAGTGTAGGAAACAGAGCAAAATGTGAACATAGCTCTCACATGCATGATTCCCCAGCTCGTTGCTGTATTTAAGTCGTTTAATTACATTATTCATATATATATACATATATACGCATATATACACACACATATATACACATATATATACACACATTATACACACATTATACACACACACACACACACACACACACACACACACACACATATATATATATATATATACACACATACACACACAAACTTTTGAATTAAAACAGTGCTTCTTATGGTGGTCAGTTATCTGAAGGCGTTCACACCTGGCCTGCAAGGGGCTGGGAGGAGGAAAGGTGTGCAGGTGTGCGGATGCCATGGGAGACAGTTCAACATGTGGTACCTATGGCAGGCCCACCTCTGTCAGGGCACTGGGCCACTCACTGTGGCAGGGCCTGGAGTATGACCTTCTGGGAGGGGAGACCAAGTGTCATAGGGGGGTGGCTGCTCACAGAGGCTCAGCACAGCTCTGCAGTCTAGGGAAAGGCCTCCTGTGTGGAGCCATGACCCCGTGACCCCGCGGCGTGCCTTGTCCACGGCGACGCCATCTTGGCAGGTGGCCGCGTGGCCTGGCTGTCGCGCGCGGCCTGAGGGCGGGCCGGGCCTCCCCGACGCCGTCCGAGCATACCTGAGTCCAGCCTGCCTCCAGTACGCCACCATGGTGTCGCGAGCCGGACGCGTCGGGCAGAGCCGCGGGGTTGCTTCAGAGTCTCTTCAGCTGGGACCGGCGGCAGGAAGGTCAGGGCGCCTGAGTACCGGAAAAGGCGGGGTGCGGGCCCGCCAGTCAACGCCTCACCCCGCCCTCGTCGCAGCCGGGAGCCAATGGGAGAGCCGGTGGCGCCCGCTCATTGGCCGAGCGGCCTCCGGAAACCGCGGTCGCGCGCGCGGAGACCTGGGAAAGTGAGGCTGCCGCGTCCCGGTCACCTTCCCAGGTGTGGTGGCAGAGGGCGGGACCTCCTCTACCGGGCAGGACCGTGACTGCCCAACTTCGCTGGCCCTGCGTTTGTGCTTAGACAGCTATCTAAGAAGAACTGTATGGCAAAACCAAGATTTACATCACTTTAAACTAGAGTTTAAATAGTCACTAGGGCATCAGACCCTTTCGGGTGTGACTCACAGACACTTTGTCCGAGAGTAACACCAAGCAGTGTTCTGTTTAGCTGGGATGTTACTCTGCATGTCAAAGTAGCTTCGTTAAAACAAAAACAAACAAGCAAACAAACAAAACCCAACCCCTTTCATTAGATTTAACCTGCTTTTATAAACGTCTCAATTTTTAAGCTAAGGAACCTTTTGAGGTAGGAAACCAGGAATTTTAAAGCCACTTAAAACATTCTCTGTGGTTTTGTATGCATGTTAACCGGTCTTTCTAAAAAAACCAAGTAGAAGCCCATCCCATAAAAGGCAAAAGGCAACCCCTCCGACAATACTGCAGTATCAAAGCAAACAGCAGTGATTGACAGTCCGGGGCTGGTTTGCAGTCCTCCTCTGACCACTGTGTTCCCACCCCTCTGTCCTCACCCAACACCCAGGAGCTAAGAAAGCACCAATGATCCAGGTGACATCTGAGTCGTCCCAAATGATGGAGAACTCTTCCCGTAAAAGAGATGTTTTGTGGTCATAATTACCCCAAAAGTAATTACATTCAAATAACCTGACATCTCATGCCTTAGCAATTACAGAAACATGGATCTGACGTGCAGCGATCGCTAAGGTCAGTAGTAGTTGTGAGCAGCTGCGCTGTCAGTGCTGCTGACGAGGGATGAGAGGGATGAGACAGTCACTTTATTTTCCAGTTAAGGTAACCAGCCCACAGTACAGCATGAGAGATCACAAAGTACAAATGTGAGGAAGGGAATGCCTTTACTAAGTCACAAAACTTTGGCAAGTCAATACAGTACCCGTTAATACAATAAAATACGATTTTTGCTGGAGTCATCATATATTACCTTAGTGTTAATTTTCACTCCAAAAATATCATTTAAATACCAAATCAAAACTGGTTTCCAGCAGGGCAAGTTATTTTATACAAATTAATGTCATCTGAAATTATACAATGTCTCTTTTTAAAGTGAGTTCCTCACGCAGGGGGTTCTAGTTCACCGCGTCGGGCAACTGTGTGCACTGGAGGGCAGCCGGCCTTTGTGCTGGTTGGTCCACAGTCACGCAGGGCTTCAGTACCTGAAAGGCTAAGATTCTATACCTAAGGAGACTCAAGACCAACATCAATTTCTTCTAAGCACTTAAACAACAACAAACAAGCCTGTTAACTGTCCATGTGAACACAAGACTCCAGCCAGCCCCTCAAGCCCTTCCACCTCAAGATGATCACTTTGACTCAGACCCTCTCCATCTTTTGTTGTGATCAAAAGTCACAGCCTTTCCCCAGCTTATTAAAAAAAAAATAATAAATCTACCTAAAGTAGCTATATTCTTTTAAATAACAAATAAATATGATGTCAGCTTGAAGAGTCCTGGGGCCCTGCAGCTGCACACCAATTTCCATTGTCATTTTTCCACCAACGCTGCTGCGGCCGCCATTGGGGTCCTTATGCTTCCTCTGGCTGATGCTGTCAGTTCTTCAATCTCGGCGTTCAGTTTATGGATCACCCATTCCATTGCTTCTCGGCCCTTAAAAAGTGCAATGAATTCACTGTTACCAAGGGCAAAGGTATGTAGACAGGAAACGGCGGCCAGGATAAGGGGTTACAGGCTCATTGAACCTCAGGGACAGATCTCTTGTCCTGGCTTTTTCTTTTCAGTTATTATTTACCAAACACTAAATGCCTTGAGCAATTGGCTTGCTCAGAAGCCACGTTTTATCTTGTGTGCAGAAGATGTGCTAGAAGAGCGAGCAGTGGAGCGGCAGGATGTCCACTGTGACTGGGGCAGTTAAGCCCCTTTTCTTTCTGTATCATCAACACTGTAACCCAAACGTGCACACCTCAGGATCTGGTCCTTGACCCTCCTCTCACTTGCCCTCTTCCTTCCTCAGGCTCTACAGTGTCTTGAGGGATGAAGGAGGAACACTCCCACTTCCTGTTTAGGGCCTTTGCACGTGCAGCTCCCCCGCCCGAATGCTCTTCCTGGACACTCCTGCACCAACTCCTTCCCTCTCAGCACTTGGCAAAAACATCAATTACCAAACTCTCATTAAACACTCAGGCCTGCTTCTACTTTTCCTTTCCTAGCGGACTGCTGTGTGATTACTGCTGCCTTCCTGAGTCCTGTGATGGCAGAGCCTGTTTGTTCTGTGGCCTGCACATCGAGTAAGCACTGACAAAGTGACTTTATGAAATGGTTAAACAACGTGTTTGCTGGGCAGTGGTGGGCACGTCTTTAATCCCAGCACTTGGGAGGCAGATAGATCCCTGAGTTCAAGTTCAAGGCCAGCCTGGTCTACAGAGGTAGTTCCAGCACAGCTTGGACTGTTACACAATGGGTTGGGCATCTTTCCCACTAAATTAACTGTTTTAACATGGGGGTGATTCCCAGTGGAGCTAACAAGTCGGGGGGGGGGGCATGGGAAAAAAATCACTATTTTATGTACATGTGGCATGTGCATCAGACAATCTCATCATGAAGGTAATAGAAGTTAAAATGTCTACAACCCATGGGCATAACAAAACATTGCGGAGGACCAGCACTTTCAGCAGACACACACCACCCACACATGTGTCAGCTCACCACCCACACAAGTCTACAATTCCCTGGGCTGTTAGCAATGCTGGTGTGCGAGCAAAGGTGTGCAGGACTCCAGAGCCACACAAATCACTGCCCATTATTCTGGACCAGCCAGCTTCGTGGACAGCTGCATTCAGCACAAGCCTTGCTGATGGGAGGTGCCCGGCCCACTTACTTTGTTAGCGTTGGAAGATATGGTGCTTGCCATGAGCCCTTCAAGGTAGCTGCTGAGGCTGACCCCTTTCACGGTGATGATGGCTTCCTGGGTCAGGACAGTTCTGGCAAAAGAACCCACAGCCTTAGATGACTCATGTTGGATTTTCAAAGAGCCCGATGGAGCCAGGCCACCATGCAGCTTTACTTACTTCTCTGGGTGCTGGGGGTGCGGCTTGTATGTTAGCCTCTCGTCCACTGAGACCATATTTGTAAATGAGATCTACAGGATGAGGAAAAAGTCAAGCCACTTCGGAAACCAATACTAGAAAGATTTCTAAAGTCAACACACAACCCCAATTCTTATTCGCAAACACACAAAACAAAAAAAACCTTACAGATAAGCTATCTTGGCTAACGTTATTGGGTAACTACAATTTAAATTTCCCTATTTAAATTTATACTTAAATTCCACCAAACTTTATTTGGGCAGAGAGGCGGCTCCGCAAGTAAAGACAAGTGTTTCCCCTAAGCCTGATGACTTGAGCTCAACCCCAGTGGCAGCTCTACCTCCTGGTAGGAGAGCACAGACTCCCAAGGCAAGCCGTCCCGACCCCCTTCACAGGATTTCCCGAGTATGCCATGCCCTCACCCCCGAATGTAAAAACAGAAAATGAGTTTAGGAACTTCAGGGTTAGGAAGTGTGCAGTACCTTTCCTTCTTCATTATTATTTATTTATTTTTAACTCTGGGATTTTAACTAGGGGATTGGACTTCAGGCCGTGAACACGCTAGGCTAGTGCTCTACAACACCCATGGCCTTTAAACAAAATAAAGAAGATGGATGGTGGTGGCACACGCCTTTAATCCCCCAAGCAGAGGCAGGAGGATCTGAGTTCCAGGACAGCCAGAGCTACAAACAGAAACCCTATCTTGAAAAAAGAATAGAGCAAAAACAATACACACACACACACACACACATACACACACAAAATAAGGGAGTCTCTTCCTATGTTGCCCCCAAATGGCCTTGAATGCAATCTGTAGCCCACGCTGGCTTTTAATTTGTGATTCTCCTGCCCCTGTATTCAAAGAAGCTGGGTTACAGGGACACACCACAACGTCCAGCCAGGCACTCCTTTTGAGAGTATATCCTCATTGCCTATTTCATGTGTAAGAAAGGAAATCTCAGGTCAAAGAGAAAGGAATAAAAACAAAGAGGTAGGACTCACGTTGGTGGACCTGAGCTCCATGGTCTTCTTTACCGGGTCAACTACAGAATGTTCCTGCACGTATGTTTTCGTTCTTGCTGCACCAATGAGCTACGGGCAACACTAGAGTTAGTAACCAGAGCTCCAGTCAAGCACCTCCATCTTTCTCTTGAAGGTACAAATTTGTCAACTACAAGCTAACAGGGATTCACACAGAGGAAGCAAGACTGTCGTACACCTCCTAAGAACCTTCCAGAGGCAATCAGGGACAGCTTGTTGAGCTGTGATGTCATACTCGCCACGGGGTGATGATGAGGCATGGAAGGGGACATCTGGGAGTCAGAAGACCCGTCTAGTAGAGTTCAGTCAAGTGTCTCACCAAGGCCAGGGAGAAGCCCCCACCCCCCCACCATTGGCTAGATAAGAAAGCAGGCCTCACAGCTGAGGGGGTCCGTCCCAAGCTCACCCTCCTCTGCTGTGGTAGAAAGCAGACTCCTTCCTGCCCTAAACAGAGAGACCCAACACAGAAGCCCGGATCCAAACCCCACCAGCTGTACCGTGACCAGCAGGCATCCTAGTTTCTCACTGGCTCTATCAGCTCACTAAAGCTTGGGGGTTTGTCATGGAAACAGAACCACTTCTGAGAAAGTACCAGACCATGGCCTAAAGGTGAAGCAGCAGTCCAAAGAGTGCTCTTGTCACTTAACAAGGACCCAATGTCACCTAATAGCGAGGACCCAACCATTGTAAACTTCACAATAAGCCTCAGGCTGGAGCAAAAGCAAGGAAAGACATTAACTCCCTCTCCACTGAGCCAGCTCCCTACAGCCATGGTACCTCAGGACGCTGAGCAGCCTTTCTAATTCAGCACACACCCCAACCATTAGAATGGAATTCCAACCTATGCAAAATCCCACGCGGCACCGGAATGGAAAGACGGTACAACACCCTAGCGCACTGCTCCAGGCTCGGCATACTTACAGACTTCACAATGGAAGGCAGGCCCCACTCTGTGCTGAGGAGCCTGTGGCTGTGCAGCTTTCCAGAGGGATCGACATGTCTGTCCAACACGTCAACGCCAACCACGCTTGGATTCATGGGGTTTGGGTATTTCTGCATTGCAGCCGTGGTGACCGTTTCCCATGGGTGGCTGCAGACAAACCAAACACCAAACATGTAAAATGGCGGATGGGGTAAGCCGTTCTTCCACCACAGAGGCTGTGCTTTAGGGTGGGATGAGTTTATCCTGGGAAGTAACTTCTGGAGACATGGGTGCTGATGGTTTTTAAATGCGTACAGATGCCAGTGTCTCCAGAAACAGACCGCACGGCACAGCAGACGCCCATGAAGCAAAGCCTTAAGGAGCATGTGTCTCACAGCAGTCCTTCCTCAGTCACAGCCGAGAAGAATCAACGCCCTGGCTGTCCTGGACCTCAGAGACCCGCCTGCCTCTGCCTCCCGAATGCTGGGAGTAGGAGTAAAGGCGCGTGGGGACACTGGCTGAACATCCGTCCTTGGGTGTCATGTGCTGCTTTCCTCCAAGTTTGGCTTCAGCTCTGCAAAGGTCACTCGGGAGGAAATGCCAAGGCCTAATGACTGAGCACGAGCACCTGCTCATCACTCCAGTGGTTGAGAACCTGCAGTTTCTTTACTTTCGTGAAAAAGGGTACATACCCATTCAAAATGCGCCACACTCACACCTGCCTTCTGGGCACAAAAGGCACTCACTTCTCAGGAAGCACCACAGCTGGTTGGTCTATCTGCCGTCTGACCCCACCCCTTAGTGTGTTATTTATCTGTGTCCTTGCTTTCTGGAGATGGATATCAAGCTACGCTCACCCATGAACACAAACCACAGTGCTCTTGTTATCTAAAAGCAAAGCAGGTGGGCATTAATCACTTCAACCTTGTGGAGAACCCGGCCTCACAACTACACCTGTCAACAGAAGAAAACCCTCCAGAACCACAGACAACCAGTGACATGGTTTGTAATGTTTTCATTTAGTCAAAAATATCCATGAACAAGCCTGATTTTCTATTTACTCTTAAGCTCTATTAAAGTCAATGCAGGTATCTAAGTGGAAGCTTCGTAATCTAAGCAGCCCCAATGGCAGTGATTTGGCCAAGCCCTCTGACTACCACGGAGGCAACTATCTAAAATGAAGATCAGATACGGCCATCTTTGGTCTATCATCCATGCGCTAACCTTTTCTCCCTCCCTTTCTGAAAAATTAATAAACAGCTCTCTGCTTTACTGTGATTGCCCCATCTGCGCTCTCTAGGCTAACTTTAAACATCACTGTTGACCAAGGGCACCCAGTGATCACTAGTGTTCTGGCAATTAGTTTTAGCTTCTTGAGCAAAGCATGACTCTGTGAAAGACCCTGGCAGACGTTCATAGAGCACCAATGTGGAGCTGAGAGCCTGGTCAATCTCATCCCTGGAACTGGACGCACTGTTAACTGACAGGGGCAACGGTTGTCCTGGACTCTATGAAAGCTGTGCTGGGACACACTGCACACGCAGATGCTGGAAGGCTCAGCAAGTGACGCCACACTGGGTGCTAACGATATGCCATGCCTCAGAAATGCCTGAAAAATCCAAGATGTATGGATGAAGAATGACTTGGGGACCTGTTTGAGAGAGCATCATTCTCAAGATGGAACCATGAAAACGGCAGTGAGACATTGGGGCTGTAATTTAGGAGGCTAGGTTGGAAGCTCAGAAATCCTGTTTTCTGAGACTCACCTTGCTAAACAGTCCCGGCTGCCCAGTACACACTCTGTGTGTGGCTCTATGTTCAGGCTAGCCTCAGACTTGGCAATGTAAGGGCTATAGGCATGCGGCAAACCTGCTTGAGATACAGATCTGGGTGCTGTAAGTGTGTGTGGGTTGGGAGCTTGATTGGTTGGCTCAACCTATCTGGAGAGATGACATCCTGGGTCTCCTCCCAGGGCACAAACAGCGTTTATTTGCAGATCTATCTTCTGGGAGACAGCCCCTGGAGCGCTCCCCAGTCTGAGAGGTCTGTGACAAAAGACTAAGCTCATGGATGAAAAGACGTGAAGTCCAGTGACCAGATTTCACTGAACATGTGTCCTGGCAGGAAAGGGGAGGAACAGGTCCTAGGGCAGGAGAGTGTAGAGAGGAGACAAGCTGAGGGGAGAATGTGGAGGACCAGAAGGGAGGACTAAGTTCTAAGCATGGGACTTGTCAGCAACTTCAAAGCACTCAGATCCAGCAGAGGAGGTTGTAGAACCCCTTCTTCTGAACAGACTCTAGTCCCAGAAGAACGAGCGAGTCCCATCTAACTCCAGTGCGCTGTCCTTATGGGGCACACAGTGGGCCCTCAGAGGCCTCGGGTCCTCATAACAGTGCTGGCACGCCTGGGTTAAACACACCACAAAGCTATACTATTACAATGGTGTGGCAACAGAGGCAGAGCCCAGATCATCCAGAAATGGGCTCAAAGGCTAAGTCAACAATAATTATGACAAGGGGACGTTTTATGTCACAGAACAATGGGTCAGTCAACGAGGAATGCTGCTGGAACAAGGGGTTAACCATTTGTTTATCTTGTATGTGGCACTGTGAACCTGGGTGGTGTCATTCCCAACACCCGACAGACTCAGGTCGTTTTCCAGTACAAGTTCAGAGAACCACAACACGATGACCAGATGTGATGGCAGAGAATGGATATCTGGCCAGATGTTATGGCTCACAGATATGGGAAACCACGGTCACAAACTATACAGAAGAGCAAGCCCTGGTCTAGAATCTCTGGCTGTTCCTCAGGCTGACTGACACCAAGGTTTGGCACCATGGTGGTGCAAACTGAATTCACCAAACTGAACTACACCTAGATGGACGGCTGCCTGGCTGTCCGTGGAAGGTTCACGCAATGGGGGCTCAGTCAGGACACCCCAGGCCACTGTGAGGCCGTCGGGGCTCCGTCAGGATACCCCAGGCCACCGTAAGCCGTCGGGGCTCCGTCAGGGCACCGTAAGCCGTCGGGGTTCCGTCAGGTCACTCCAGGCTACCACGAGGTGGTCGGAGCTCCGAACACCCCAGGGCACCATGAGGCCGTCGGGACCTAGCGCTCTGCGACCCCTGGAGTCACTTCCGGGTCATGCCCGACGGCCGGTTCCTGTCTTCCGTCAGTGGCGGAGGGCCCATGCCCGGGGTCACGGAGGCCCTAGCTATGCTAGGGGTCGTGACCTTGGCGGTCCCCGGTCCCGGGGTCAGCCCCGCTCGTTCTGCCACACCCGATGCCAGAGAGCTCCCCGACGGCGCCGGAGCCGGTAGCCGCTCCCACACTCACTCAAAGACGTGCTCGGAAGTCCAGATCTTCATGGTGCCAGCCGCCCGCCCGGCGTCCCGCGGCGTCCCGGGACGAGGAGGCACAGAAGTTCACC